TGAGAGTGAAACATCGATTAGCAGCCTCCCGCAGTCCCCCCAGCCATGGAAGCCCTCAAATGGGTTTGTGTGCTGACCAGAATTGAACTGGCAACCTTTTGGTGCACAGGACGATGCCCAACCACCTGAGCCACACACACCAGGTCTTTTCCATTTTTGTTAGATTGAAAAATTATTTATTTCTTGTTCACCTTCGAAGGATAATTTCCAGGAGCAAAATTCTAGGTTTGTGAGTTTTTTCTCTCTCAACACTTTAAGTGTTTCATTTCATTGTTTTCTTACTTGCATGGTTTCTGAGAAGTCAGATATCATTCTTACCTTTACTCTAGGTTATTGGTAGATGGTTACATGTCCTGTTCCCCTGCTTGGCCCTTTGTTTGTTTGTTTGTCTTTTCCCCATTGACCCCCTCCACCCTGTACCCGCCCCTTCCAGGCCTTTACCACTCTATTGTCTGTGTCCATGGGCATCTTAAAAAATTCTTTATTGTTGAAAGTATGACATTTCTCCCTTTTCCCCCATTGTCCTCTCCCAACCTGCCCCCATGGCATTTTTAAAATCGGGGTATAATTTACATACCATAAAAGTCACCCTTGGACAGTTTATGATTCCAGTATATTCACAAGCACTAGTTTGGAAGTTTAAATCTGAGTTAACTAAAATGAAGTAAAAGTAGAAATCCAGTTCAGCTTTGAGCTAGCCGCCATCCAGTCCCCAGTGACCACACGGGGCTGGGGACTAGCATTTTGGGGAGCACAGATGGACCCTTCAGTGAGGCTGACTCGCTTTCTTCCTCCACCTCTATCTCTGAGTAAAATTCAAAAGAAATCATGAAATCCTGGCAACTCCCCTCTACCACTATCATTTGTAATTCATCATCATCAACATAATCTAGTCTATGGGCATCTACAAAAACCAGTTGAGTTCGGGACAGGTCCCGTGTCAGGGATAAGCCTTGAGAGGCAGGAACTTGGAGTTGAACTTGGAGCCTGGCCATCCTGCCCATCCCCTACCCCTGACACTCATGTTCTGTTTCCCTGGGCAGGGATCTGTGTGGCTGACCCCTATGAGGTGACAGTGGTGCAAGATTTCTTCATCGACCTGCGGCTGCCCTACTCTGTGGTTCGTAACGAACAGGTGGAGATCCGAGCCGTCCTCTACAACTACCGGGAAGAAGATACACTCACGGTGGGTCCTTGGAGCAGGAGAGGCACGAGGGGAGACCTGGAGAGGGGCCCATGGCACATGCCCCTGACCTGATACTCTCTCCCTGGCAGGTGAGAGTAGAAATGCTCTACAATCCAGCCTTCTGCAGCTTGGCCACTGCCAAGAAGCGTCACCTGCAGACTGTAACCATCCCTCCCAAGTCCTCGCTGGCCGTGCCTTATGTCATTGTACCACTGATGGTCGGCTTGCAGGAGGTAGAGGTCAAGGCCACTGTCTATCGGTACTTCATCACCGACGGTGTAAGGAAGACCCTGAAGGTCGTGGTGAGTCCTTGGGGCCCCTGCTGGCGCTTGTCCTTCAGGAGGGACTCTTGCTCTCCTTGTGCTGTCAACTCAGTTTGGAGCCCCAGGCTCTGAGACACTAATGCTGTCCGTGTTCAGCTTAGGAAAGTCAGGAGTCCCAGCAGTGTGACAGCAGGGCCATGTGAGGCAGGGGAGACATGCTTCTGTGCATAAAATTCTAAGGGGGTGCCCAAACCTCAGCAGTAAAGATATAAAATGGTTTTCCTTAAAATATAGTTCAATATCAAATATGATTGGGTTGTTTTGTTTAACACATTTCAATTTAGGCGTTTTGTTTTGACTAAAAATTTTGGGGAAACATATTTCACAGACAAATTTTATAAAGCAATAATATGTGATGCTAGAATATAGGAAAGATCTACTTTTGAAAATGTATGTTTTTTATTGATTTCAGAGAGAGGAAGGGAGAGGGAGAAAGAGAGAAACATCAGTGATGAGAATCATTGATTGGCTGCCTCCTGCACACCCCCTATTGGGGATCCAGCCTGCCACACAGCCATGCATCCTAACCTGGAATGGAACGCCGACCTCCTGCTCCATGTGTCAGCACTCAACCAGTGAGTCACACCGACCAGGAAGCAAAGTTCTGTTTATACCAGTGATTTCAAATTTTTAAAAATTCTATGAGTTTATTGAGCCAAACTGACTAACATGTGTTGGGGAACAAGATCTCACATGTTCCATTACCTGTGATTTTTGGCCTTAAAATATACATTAACAGTTACATTACTACTGTTTCCCATAGTTTGAAACACTTTCAAATATAATAAGAGATAGAATCATCAGTAAAAGGCTTTTGTCATTTTTTTCTCTTGTGAATATTTTTATCACTATGTTTTTATTGTTTAATATATTACATATGTCTCCTTTTTCCCGATTGACCCGACCACCACCACCACCACACCCGCCCCCCAGGACAAGCCCCCACCACCCCAGTGTCCATGTCCATTGGTTATGCTAATATGCATGCGTAGATGTGCCAGAGTTTAATCTACTCATCTGCTGATGGGCACTTAGGCTATTTTCAAATCCTAGATATTGTAAATTGTACTGCTATGAACATAGGGTTCCATATGTCCTTTCTGATTCATGTTTCTCTTGGAATATATTTGCAGAAATGGGATTACTGGGTCGAATGTGAGTTCCATTTTTAATTTTTTGAAGAATCTCCTTTTTTAAAATATTTTAAAGCAAAACAAGTTTAAGCAAGATCACTAATTATTTATTTATTTATCTAATTTTAAAATAAAATACTTTGATAACATTTATGAGGTTCGTACTCCATTTCTGTCCTACAAGCTCTGTGCCTCTGGGCAAGTTACTTTAGCTCTCTGTTCTCCAATTTCCCCATCTTTTTATAAGTTTGTGTTTTGTTTTGTTTTAAGATCTTTTCATTGATTTTGAGAGAGAGAGCAAAGGAGAGGAAGAGAGAGAGAAACATAATGTGAGAGTGATATATACATCGACTGCTTCCTGTATGCCCTCTACCTGGGATCAAGCTGGAACCTGGGCATGTGCCCTGACCTGGAATCTATCCAGCAACCTTTCCTTGTATGGGAGAAGCCCAACCAACTGAGCCACACTGGCCAGGGCCCATTTCCCCATCTTTAAAATGGGAATGATAATAGCGGTACCTTAAATGAGTTAACCTGAATTAAGAAAGCTTCTAGGCATATAGGGAGATTTTAAAGGCTTTGTTGTTTTATTATTATGAATTGATAATGTTGTTATTAAATCATACCACAGTATGAGGTATATGTTTGTATTGCCTCCTCCCTATAAGGAAGGAAGATGAGACACAGAGAGGTTAAGTTACTGGCTCTTAGTCACACAGCTAAGACTGGCAGATGCCATCTAGGCTACAGTAATCCCCAGAACAATGCCCTGCTGACCAGCTGTGGCTCTGTCTGTCCTTGTATTCACCCACCTCCCCTTCCCTCAACACTGTCCAGCCTGAAGGAATCAGAATGAACAAGACTGTGGCCGTTAAGACACTGGATCCACAACACCTGGGCCAGAGTGAGTCAGCGCAGGAGTGGAGTGAGGCCTGGGTGGTGGGCAGGGTCTGGTGAAAGGAGGCTGGTGCCAAGGGTGTCCCCCATTCCACCGACAGACGGTGTGCAGCGAGTGGAGGTCGAGGCTGCAGACCTCAGTGACCAAGTCCCTGACACAGAGTCGGAAACCAGGATCCTCCTGCAGGGTGAGATGGCCTTGGTCCAACCCCATGGGGCCCAGGAAGGTGTGGGAGCCATGACCCCCCAAGAGGGCTCCCGGTTCCATCACTGCCAGGAACATTGAACCATGATGCCTCCCTCCTTCTCCTGTGCTAGAACAGCCTCCTTGATGTGCTCACAGAAGGCTCCAGGCAGTACTTAGCTTCTGCTGATAAAGAAGCTTCAATGAGAAGTGATAGAGTTCAAGAACAGAAATTCTGGAACGAATTGCCCAGGATGGAGGACTGGGAAGAGAAGGCACAGGAAGGAGCTAGCAAAGCCCCTTGCAACTTCTGAGCTCTTAGGTTTGGGACAGAGACTCTTGGTTTCCTGATCTGTGATGAAGGCAAATAACAGTACCTGTCTCGAAGGGCTGTTGGGAAAATTAAATGAGATGCTAGCAGGAGTCCTCAAACTTTAAACAGGGGGCCAGTTCACTGGTATGTGCCCTTGACTGGAATTGAACCTGGACCCTTCAGCCCGCCGGCCGACACTCTCTCCCAGGGGTCCTCAGAAACTTTAAACGGGGCCAGTTCACTGTCCCTCAGACCGTTGGAGGGCCAGACTATAGTTAAGAAAACAAACAAACTATGAACAAATTCCTATGCACACTGCACATATCTTATTTTGAAGTAAAAAAACAAAACGGGAACAAATACAATATTTGTATTTGCATGTGGTCCGTGGGCCGTAGTTTGAGGACACGTGCATAGTGTTCTCTTAGAAGACAGTTTGGCAAACGGCATTAAGCATGATAGACGTATTCATGACCATTGTTCCTGGAATTATTTTACCATTTGTGGCATATGAGGATCCAGGGACAACCTGCCTGGCCCCCTTCAGCCACATGCCTCCATCTGTCCCTGACTCTTTGGCCCTGACTGGGTGGAGCCTGGAAAGGCTGGGGGCAGCCCCAACCCTCATCACCCCACAGAGGTTCTCATTGCTTGAACGTCATCCTTTCTCCTGGCCGCAGGGACCCCAGTGGCCCAGATGGCAGAGGACGCCATCGATGGGCAGCGTCTGAAGCACCTCATTGTGACCCCTTCGGGCTGTGGAGAGCAGAACATGATCGGCGTGACGCCCACGGTCATCGCAGTGCACTACCTGGACCACACTGAGCAGTGGGACAAGTTTGGCCTTGACAAGCGGAAGGAGGCCGTGGAACTCATGAAGAAGGGTATGTCCCCATCCCCTATTGGAGGCCCCCACTCTGAGGCCCCTCTCTGAGCTCCTACCTCCTCTGAGGCCCCAGCCCTTGTGGCCCCAGCCCCTCTTGAGGCCCCGTACCTTCTCTGAGACCTCCAGCTCTCTCCTTTTTGAGACCCTACTAGTCCTTCTGAGTTCTCTCTCCCAATGAACTCCCTTGAGAGACCTTCTCTCTCTGAACCCCCTCTCCTCTGAGAAGCCCTTACTCCTCACTCTGATCCCTCCACCCTATAAGCTCCCCTCCCCTCCAGACATTCCTTCTGGTCCTGAGCCCCCTCTTTCCTCTCTGAAACTCCCCTTCCCCCTTCACAGAATCCTTGTTCCTCTCTAAGCCTCTCTCCTTCCTGGCATACCCACACCGGCCACTGCCTCCACTCAGCCCTCACTCCTCCAGTGACACCTCTCTCTTCCTTGCAGGGTACACGCAGCAACTGGCCTTCAGGCAACCCAACAAGGCCTTCGCGGCCTTCCTGAATATGAAGCCCAGCACCTGGTGAGCCTGCCAATCTTTGGCCCTGCACCCCTTGAGCAGGGGGGCCTGGGCTCTGGCCTGGGGTGATCTAGGCTGGCCTCCCCCACACAGCCCTGTGCCTCTGGACCCCTCCACCTTCAGAGTCAAGGTGCCCACTAGTCGAATGACCTACCGTCACTAAGCACTGCCTACAAGCAACATTGGGTCCTGAGACCTGGCCCAGGAAACTGGGCATAACTGAGCAGGCCCTGCCCCTCTCTCCTCCTTGCTTGGCTGGGATGGCAGTCTCTGGATCCCAGAGCCAATTGGCTCATGCTCTGTGCCCACCCCAGGCTGACAGCCTACGTGGTCAAGGTCTTCTCTCTGGCCGCCAACCTCATCGCCATCGATTCTGAAGTCATCTGTGGGGCTGTCAAGTGGCTGATCCTGGAGAAGCAGAGGCCTGATGGAGTCTTCCAGGAGGATGGGCCCGTGATACACCAAGAAATGATTGTAAGAGGCGGGATTCAGGGCAGGCTGGGGGAGAGGAGTGCCTGAGTGCCCCCGCATGGACAGGAGACAGGCTCCGTCTGCCATTTGCCGAATTCCCAGCGTGGGATGGACAGAGAAATAAAGGAGCAACAAATGTCACTTCTCCTTTGCAAAAACCAGAGACCTCAGGGCCCAGTGCAAAATGAAAGTTCCCTAGCCCCCCATTGCTTTCATTAAATCTGAGAAGTCCTTAGAATTGTGGTTCTCAAACTCTGGTATCCAGGCCAAAAGCACCAGCATCAACTGCAAGGCCATTTGCCCAATTCCTAGCGTGGGATGGACAGAGAAATAAAGGAGCAATGAATGTCACTTCTCCTTTTAAAAAACCAGAGACTTCAAGGCCCAGTGCAAAATGAGAGTTTCCTAGACCCCCTATTGCTTTGAAAAAAACCTGAGAAGTCCTTAGAATTGTGGTTCTCAAACTCTGGCCTCCAGGCCAAAAGCACCAGCATCAGTTGCAAGTTTATTAGAAATGGACAAACTTGTGCTGGATCCCACATGCCCGAATCAGAAACTTTGGGGGTGGGGCCTAGGAATTGGGGTTTTAATAAGCCCCTGACTCCAGGTAATGCTGCTGTGTGCTCTAGTGAGCAAACCACGGCTTCAGCCTGACTTTCGGGCTCCAGCCTTGCAGCCTTCCCTCTCCACACTCCATCTGTACTGCCTGGAGACTTGCCCCCGGGCACAGGGCCTTTGCACATGCTGTTCCCACTGCCTGGCATGTCACCACTGGCCTCTTTGACAGTTGAGTCCTACTCACTCTTCAGATTGTGGCTCCGCCTGTCATCCCTTGGGGACACTTTTCCAACTGCCCTGAACAAGACACACCCCGCTATCCATTCTCACTGCCACATCCACTTCTGCGCAGCACTCGTCAGTTTGTAAAGATATATCTGTGATGAGCTGTCTCTCCTACGAGATGGGGAGCTCCATGAGAGCTGGAGCTCTTGCCTGTCTCCCCTACGAGATGGGGAGCTCCATGAGAGCTGGAGCCATCTTACCCACAACACCAGCAACATTTACAGAATGAGTGAGTGAATGAATGAATACTAGACTATGGCCCTCCTCTGAAACACTGGGGAGAGACCCACCCCTGCACTGCCCCACCCTGCTGATTATACAGGGGGAGATGGTTGGCATGAGGGGCATATTGGTGACCCCATCCTATTTCCTCCTCCACACCCTAGGGTGGCTACAGGCACGCTGAGGAGAAAGATGTGTCCCTCACAGCCTTCGTTCTCATCGCACTGCAGGAGGCTAAAGATATTTGTGAGAGACAGGTCAACGTAAGTGTGCCCTGCCCTGCCCTCCTCCACAACCCCCCCCCCACACACACACACCCAGGCACAGCCATCATGGAGGTTCTGTAATTGTGGCATCTGCTTTGTCCTGGGGTTTTGAGAGTGGGTTGTTTGACCTTTAGCTTTCCAAGTGAGGAACTCCAGGATCCCAACTTCACCACCTGCTTCTCCTCCTCAGGACCCCAGAAAAGAGAGGAAGGAGAGGAAGGCTGTTATCGTTAAGGCCAAGGAGAACCCAGGTCTTTCTGGTTCAAACTTGCAGATTTGAAAGAAATTATGGTTAGAAAAGAAAAGAGATGGCTCTAGGGCAGTGGGGTCAGACAGATCTAAATTTAGATCATAACTCTCAGGCACTTGTCCTTCCTGGGCCTCAGTGTGTGCATCTGTAAAATAAGTATAAAATAAGTATAATAATTTTTGTATTTTTTAGAATTCTCTAAGTTGTTCTAGATGTAACACACGTGTGAGCTACATGATGCAAAAACACAGGGTGGGGCAAAAAGTAGGTTTACAGTTGAGTATGGGTAACACAGAGTTTATTGTTGTCTTATTATTTATTATTTATTGTATTATTTTATGTACAAACAACTATAAACCTACTTTTGCCCCACCCTGTAGATGGGCGAATTATTTTAAGAATCTAAGAATTTATCAAGTGCAAGGATGAAAGGAATCTTAGGGACTTGACCTGGATGCTTTGTTCCTCTTTCCTGTGTCCTTCATGCCCCTTTTGCCCAATAATTCAGCTTTCCTGCCACCCAGCCTACCTGGCAGAACAGAATTGCCTTCCTTGGGGAAGCTCCTAGCCCAAGGCTAGATCTTCCAGATTCTTAGGAAAGGATTCTGATTGGCTCAGCCTCGGTCAAGTGATCACTTCTGGATCAACGAATTGAGACCAGGAAGTAGGTCTTCCTAGGCAAACATGACTGTTCCCCTGTGGCCATGTAAGTGACAGGAAGGAGAAGGTCCTACAAAAGTCAAGGGTGGATATAAGACAGAGGGCAGGCAAAAGGATTAGTTTCTACTACAACATAGTGACATTTTCCACTACAACACAGCACCCTTATCACGGAGTATGGCGTAGGCTGTGGAACTAGACTGCTGGGGTTCAAATAAAGAGCTTGCTGGGATTAGCTTGATAAAACCCATGGTTAGTATTCCAGGAATATTGCAAGTTGATTGTTGAACACAATCATTATTAAATATTAAAGTATATAAACTTACATTTAAATAAATTAGACTAAACACTACACATAAAAACAAAGGTAGTAGCCCTGGCCAGGTAGCTCAGTTGGTTGGAGCATCATCACCTTATGCCAAGGTGCAATTCTATCTCCAGTAGGGGCATATACCAGAAACAACCAATGAATGTATAGATAGGTAGAACAACAAATTGATCCCTCTTTCTCCCCACTCCCCCCCAAAAAAAATATCAATTAAGAAAAAAACATCAACTAATGTAGTAAACCCTTAAAACTCATCACTTCTTAATTATTTTACTACCTTTTATCATTATCCATGACCTTGAGATTATTTATGTCTGTTGTACCTATACTGTGAACAAACTATATAATCTCAATTCTACAGTCAGTGACTCCATGCTGGTAGGTTGAAATCAGCCATGGTTGTATTTACACTATAAAAATCACTACAAAGCATATCTGCCTCTGCACCTCATCTCATGGGTCTTAGTGTTCTCCTCTGTGCAGTAGGGATGATGATGAAAATAAAACCTACCTCATAGGATTTTGAGATTAGATGAGTGGATACATAGTGAGTATTAGCTACAATGACGATGATGATTAGATAATAGGTGGACCCAGTGGTGTGCTAAACC